TTTTCAAGTACTTTTTGTGTTTATCGCGGGATCCAGTTTTGGGGACGGACGGACTGACGACGGACGGACGGAAACGACTGACGGGACAAGACGGACGGAGGAGTAAACCTAAAAGTCCCCTCCGGTTTAAAACCGGGTTTTAGGGGACTTAAAAACAGTATTCTCTGCCTTTAATCGGCCTGTTTGAATTAACGATGCTAATCATGTATTGATGCAGGTGTTAAAAATATTTTTTTGCCTATTTAAAAAAAAATGTTCCACTTGAAAACCCAATTGAGGACAGTTACGTATAAATCAACCGCAACTGAGAGCAGTGTGATAATAAATCACAAAGCAAGTGAGAAACTCTTTAAAATTACATTTGGAAAAATTATTTTTTTCTGTAAGAACCCAATTTTTCACATATCTTGTATGCAATGTCAGACCACAGTATGATGTAACGCCAAAGAAAAAAACTTTAGATTGTCAATGGAAAATTTTGGATAAGTCCCAGCGGGTAGGGCACTTTTATTTTTTCTTTTTTTTATTGAAATAAGATGGGACTTTATATACATTGAAAATAAAAAAAAAGGATTGGTTTTTGTTTATGCATTCCATGTTCCCGCTGAAGGGGAAAAATGTATCTTCCCAGAGAGGAAAAATCTAATGGTGCCGGGTGGACGGGGATGAGAATCAGACAAAAATTTTTTTTTTCTATTGGCCCTAAGTACTGGGAGCACAATCATTAAAAACATTTAATTTACAATAACTATTATTATTAAATATTGAGCTGTTAAAAATAAACTTTTGCATTTATATTAATTAAACTAAAAGTTTAGTAATTTTCGACTAGTTTAAAAATATTGGGCCCTACTGTAAGAAAAAACAGAAATATGCCTAATAAGACAAATACCATCATTATTCTTGATAGCTTCAATGGGTTTTTAAAACCCTCAATCAAGTTTGTTGGTAGGACACTTCAATTTATCAGCTATGTTGCTAACTATTTTTGGCCCATTTTTTATGTCATCATTTATATCAATCAATTCTCCAATAATCACAATATAAGCCAAACAAAAAACATGCATAAAGAAAATATTCAGGCAAACAATTACCTTATAATTTATTAGGCCCTATAATGTCGTATATGATCCTATCTCATTTTTCAAAAATGTCATCAATTTAAGCTCGCTCAAAAATGAAGAGTTATCAATAATAGCAAAACCAGTTTCCAAATGATGAACAAAACACAAAGTCTAATAAAGAAAACAGTATTCTCTGCCTTTAATCGCTGTGAATTAACAAGTATGCTAATACAATGTATTGATCAGGTGCTTAAAAATATTTTTGCTATTAAAAAAAAATGGTCCACTTGAAAACCAATGGAGGACAGTACATACTTAAATCACCTGCAACTGAGAGCAGTGGTGTAATAATAAATCACAAGCAAGTGAGGAACTTTCTTTTTTAATATATTAGAATTGAATTATTTTTTTGTGTAAGAACCCAAATTTTCAACAAATCTTTGTGCCAATGTCAGATCCACAGTATGATGTAGCCAAAGAAAATAAACATTTAAGATTATCAAAGTTGATTTTGGAAATAAGATCCCAGCGGCTCAGGGCACTTTTATTTTTCTTTTATTATTGAAATAAGATGGACTTTATATACATTGAAAAATAAAAAAAAATGATTTGATTTTGTTTGCTCATGTTCGCTGCTGAAGGGAAAATGTATCTATCAGAGAGGAATCTAACTGAGTTGGGGCGGACGGGGGAATGAGAAACTCGACATATTTTTTTCCTAATGGCCTAAGTATGTTGAGCACAATAATAATTTTCATTAATTACCAATAACCCTATTATTATAAATATTCAGCTGTTAAAAAAAACCTCTTGCATTTATATTAAATTTGTTGAAACTAAAAACTAGTTAGTTTTCGACTTAGTTTAAAATATTGGGCCCGTAAGAAAAGAATTATGCTAATAAGCACCAAATAATACCATCATATTTTGAAGCTTCATGGGTTTTAAAACCTCCTATCAATTGTTGGGTAGACACCTTACATTGGTTTCATCTCCTATGGTTGCTACTATTTATGGCATTATTTTATGTCATCAATTTATATCATCATATTCTCCAATATCTAACAATATAAAGCAAACAAAAAAAACATGCTATAAGAAATATTCAGGCCAACAAATTACCGTTATAATTGGGCTTTAATGTCCCATATATCCTTTATCTCAAATTTCCAAAATGTATCAATAGCTCTCTCAAAAAGTGACCCAGTTAAATTCAAATAATAGCAAACCCAGTTTTCGAAAATAATGACCAAAACATCAAAAAGTCTATAAAGAAAAACAGTTGTTCTCTGCCTAATCGCTGTGAATTAACAGTTATGCTAATACCATGTATGATGCAGGTGTTATCATTAAAAATATTTTTTGCTATTAAAAAAAAATGTTCCACTTGAAAACCAATTGAGGACAGTACATACTAAATCACCCTGCAACTGAGAGCAGTGTGTAATAATCACAAGCAAGTTGAGAACTCTTTAAATATACATTGAATAATTATTTTTGTGTAAGAACAATTTTCACAAATCTTGTTGCAATGTTCAGACCACAGATGATGTAGCCAAAGGGAAAATAAAACGTTTAGATTGTCCAATGGAATTTTGGGATAAAGATCCCAAAGCGGGTCGGGCACTTTTACCTTTTCTTTTATTATTGAAATAAGATGGAACTTTATTAATACATTTAGAAAATAAAAAAAACTAGAAATGTGTCCATAAGGACATCCGGGTTGCCCCCACCGCGCCACTTTCTGTCAATCTTTTTTACTAAGTCAAGGGAAAATACACTCTACAAATACTGGATAAATCCACCAAGCCGAAACCCAAGGTGCAAATCTAAAATATTGCTGAGCAACCTGCCCATAAGGTTTAATTTTAATGACTATGTCAAATCCTTTTTGAGTAAACTTGCGGCACAAGTTGAAAATTGCAAAAATTTTCTAAGTGAAGGGCAATAAACTCTAAAAATACTAAATAAATCCAGACGAAAAATATCTGAGGCACAAATGCACATGCTGATCAACATTCCTGTAAAGTTTCATGACTCTAGGTCAAAATACTTTTTGAGTTACATGCGACACAAGTGAAAATTGCAAAATTTTACTAAGTCAAGGGGCAATAACTCTGAAAATACTAAAAATATCCAGACGAAAATACCCAGGTGCACAACAACACATGCTGATCAACATTCCTGTAAAGTTCATCACTCTAGGTCAAATACTTTTTTGAGTTACATGCGACACAAGTTGAAAATTGCAAAATTTTACTAAGTCAAGGGCAATAACTCTGAAAATACTAAAATATCCAACACGAAAATACCCAGGTGCACAACCAACACATGCTGATCAAAATTCCTGTAAAGTTTCATCATGACTCTAGGTCAAATACTTTTTGAGTTACGTGCGACACAAAAGTGAACGGACGGACGGAAGGACGGACGGAGGGACGGACAGACGGACGGACGGCACGGACAAGGGTAAATCTAAATTGCCCCGCCACTAACGTGGGGGCACAAAAATTGAATTGGTTTTTGTTTATGATCATGTTCGTTTGAGGGAAAATGTATCTTATAGAGGAATCTAACTGATGTGGGGCTGACGTGGGATGAGAATCAGAACATATTTTTTTCTATTGGCCAAATGTACTGTTGAGCAACCAAATCCTAAACATAATACAATAACTATTATTATAAATTCAGCTGTTAAATAAACTCTTGCATTTTAAATTAATTGTGAAACAAAAAGTCTAGTTAGTTTTCGACCTATAGTTTAAAATATTGGGCCCTGTAAGAAAACAGGGAATATATGCTAATAAGACAAATACCATCATATTCATTGATAGCTTCATGGGTTTTAACCTCATAAAGTTTGTTGGTAACACTTCATTGGTATCAGCTATGTTGCTACTATTTATGGCATTATTTTATGTCATCATTTATATCATTATTTCTCCAATATCTACAATATAAGCAAACAAAAACATAGCTATAAGAAATATTCAGGCAACAATTACTATAATTGGGCTTTAATGTCATATATCCTATCTCATTTCAAAATGTATCAATAGCTCGCTCAAAAAAATGACCAGTTATCAATAATAGCCAAAACCCCATTCCAAATGATGAAAAAAACACAAAGTCTATAAAGAAAACAGTATTCTCTGCCTAATCGCTGTGAATTAACAGTATGCTAATACATGTATGATGCAGGTGTAAAAAATATTTTTGCTATTAAAAAAAAATGTTCCACTTGAAAAACCAATTGGGACAGTACATACTAAATCACTGCAACTGAGGAGCAGTGTGTAATAAATCACAAGCAAGTGAGAACTCTTTAAATATATTAGAATAATATTTTTTGTGTAAGAACAATTTCACAAATCTTGTGCAATGTTCAGACCACAGTATAATGTAGCCAAAGAAATAAACATTTAGATTCTCAATGGAATTTTGGATAATATCCCCAGCGGGTCAGGGCACTTTTACTTTTCTTTATTATTGAAATAAGATGGACTTTATATACATTGAAAATAAAAAAAAAAAATGATTGGCTTTGTTTATGGCATCATGTTCGCTGAAGGGAAAATGTATCTATCAGAGAGGAATCTAACTGAGTGGGGCGGACGGGGATGAGGAATCAGACATATTTTTTTTCTATGGCCTAAGTACTGTGAGCACAATCATAATACATAATACAATAACTATTATTATAAATATTCAGCTGTTAAAAAACTCTTGCATTTATATTAATTGTGAAACTAAAAGTCTAGTAGTTTTCGACTAGTTTTAAATATTTGGGCCCTGTAAGAAAACAGAATATAAGACAAATACCGTCATATTCATTGATAGCTTCATGGGGTTTTAACCTCATCAAGTTTGTTGGTAGACACTTCATTGGTATCAGCTATGTTGCTACTTTTTTTGGCATTATTTATGTCATCATTTTTATATCATCATATTCTCCAATATCTACAATACAAGCAAACAAAAACTGCTATAAGAAATATTCAGGCAACAACCTTACTATAATTATTAGGCTATAATTGTCATATATCCTATCTCATTTCAAAATGTATCAATAGCTCTCTCAAAAAGTGACCAGTTATCAATAATAGAAAATCAGTTTTCAAAATGATGACCAAAACACAAAGTCTATAAAGAAAACAATATTCTCTGCCTTCTCTGTGAATTAACCCAGCCACAAATAGAGCGCAATTGAAGTATACTATAAGTATATTTGAAGCTCACAGGTGAAGTATATAAGAAGCATGGTTGCAGTCCCTACTTCATATGCGCTTTCATTTATTTGATGGTAAATGCTTATGCAAACACATAGGTGAAGCTCCTTTGCAGTCCCGTTCGAATTATGCTAATTAGGCTTCAAATGTGCTTCTTAAAAAGTATCTTCGAAGTACCCCTTGGAAGCACATTTGAAGCATACATATTAAATGCATTCAGTGTAATTATGAAGCACACTTTAAGCCCATTAAGAAGTACAGATGAAGTCTCCATGACAGAAGTATACCTGAAGCTTCTCTTTGAAGCACACATGAAGCTTCTCTTTGAAGCACACATGAAGCATATTGTTGAAGTACAGATTAAGTCCCAGAGTAAAAAGTACAATTAAAGCCCCACTACAAAACTAAAAATAAGAAATCTTGAAGCATTTTACAAAGCACATTTTTTTAAAGCACTAAAGAGTATCATTAGAAGGCCTATTTGAAGTTTAAGAAATGTATTATTTCCTCCAAATATCTTATCAATTTTATGTTACTAATTGCATCTATAGAAATAAGATATCTACGGATAATGCAGCCACTATAGCACACAAAGTTTACAAAAAACAGAAAGAAGATGATCACAATGACTCACTTTCAGCACTACATTGCTCAAGTGAGCCAACAATTAAAAATACCAGTACTAGGAAATACAAATTTACAAATATTCTGGGCAGTTTTTAAGCAATAGATTCATTTTTGTGATTAAAGCATGAACATATGCATTATCATTAAAGAAAAACATTTGCAAATTATCTATGACAGCAAGTGGCGCTTTCTCAGACTTTACTTAACCAAACAAAAAGGAACAATGACATATTTTTAAGGGAACATTTAATTCTTTCAACTAATAATTTCATGCATGATAAACAATAAAAAAAAACACTCAATTAAAAAGTCCTTAAGAAAATCTAAAACTACTATAAAAAAGTCACTATAACACAGTTTTTTTTTTTTCAATTATGCTAAGTTGAATGTCATTTCACGGTCATCATAAACCATCCATTGTTGAAAATACAGTATAAGTTCTATTTTGTATCCAATATCAATTCTTCTTATACTGTCACTTTAGTTGTTTTTTTTGCTTTGCATCGTTTGGAAGTAAGGCTTGACCGCATTGCCTTCATAATATCCCCCCTTCGTGTTTCTGAGTTGTAAACAGAAAAGGCTGAAATAAAAAAAGCTAAACTGTGAGTCTCCTATCAAAACAAGTTTCATCAAGCATATTAAAATAATCATAGATCAAACTGTCAGAGGAGACAGCATGCTCGACTAATTAAGTAGTGGACTTGGTCAAGAAAAGCTGAAAGCTTAAAAAGAAATTGTTATATGAAATAATAAATGCAAATTAATTAAACTATCCGTGTGATAAAATCCATATTGCTCACACTGTAGGCAATATAGTTTTGCTGACTCACAGTGTGATATATAGCATGCCATTTTGCCTCAAAATAAACAAATGAGCCGTGTCATGACAAAACCAACATAATGGGTTTGCGACCAGCATGGATCTAGATCAGTCTGCGCATCCGCACAGTCTGATCAGGATCCATGTTGTTCGCTTACCAACTCTATTACAAGTAGAGAAACTGATAGCGAACAGCGGATGCGCAGACTGGTCTGGATCCATGCTGGTCGCAAACCCATTATGTTGGTTTTGTCATGACGCGGCTCAAATATCCTCTATACAAGTCTCAATACCAGAAAAGCTTTAATAATACGTTCAACTTTTTTGCACAATAAAGCATGTATGAGACAATGTAATGTTTCCTTTTCAATATGAATACCAAAGATCAATAAGGGTATAAGGAAACTTTTTTCTAAATTAAATGTAAAGATTGAAATAAGACATCATAAGGCTGCACTTAAGTATGGAGATGTATACTACACTTGTTCCTGTGAGGAAGCACTTTAAGACTGACCTTGTGTTTGTTTTCATATTAGCTAAAGAATAATTTTATTGTACTTACCAATAATGGCTTCCACAATTTGTTGGTTGAGCGGACGGTAGAGGGAGGTCTCAGATTCAGTAAGACTGCTCTGCTGGAGCTGTTCTGTTGTGAAAAACACAGTCAGTAAATATCTCGCTATTCTTTTCCCGTCTTTCCCTCCCTGTGGACTGGATGTTGACTTATTAAGTGATGTGTAGTGTTGGTCTTTATGTAGAAACACATTAGTTGCAGGAAATAATTCTTCCATCTGTGAAAGTATAGATAACATTATTTTAAAAACAGTTTATTTTTTAAACAATCAAAGCAGGTATCTTATCACCCACAAAACATTTTAAAATTAAAAGAAGAAATGTTTTTGAAAATCTTAGAACATTTTGTATAGAATGAAATTAAGTTGTTAGGCACTGCAAATGATAGTGTTGGAAAAAAAGGACATTTTGACTGAATTCACTATTGATTATTCCGGATACTCTAGCAATTGATAATTAAAATTTTCAATGTAATGTTCTGATTCATTTAAAAACAACAATCATTCGCTATATAATGCACTAATTACAACTTGAATGTAGGAGGCTTTGACGAATAAACTCGCCTGCTTGCATTCGCGTAAAAGTTACGGTCGGGCAATTAAAAAATTGATCAAACTCAATCCAGGAGGGCGAGGAGATTCTCAAGATCTAAATGATGGTTCTCTACATATTTAATATAAATGAAGTTATTCCATAAAAAATCAAACAGCAGACGCCATTTCAAACATAATACTGTCAACTGAAAACCGACCTTATCACTAAGTATGACCTTACCGAATGTGTATGATGAATCGATTCTGTGACAACAACCAAATGTGTATGATGAATCGGTGACAACAGCAGCATTTGACAATGTTTTACACATACGCATTCGGTAATGTTCTATACTTAGCCAGAGCAGTGAGTTTGATATTTTAGCAGAGTATGTTAAAATTTGAATGGAACAAGTATTCAGTCTATATTGAAGATTATATAATAAAAGAATAAAGATATAATAAATATAATTGAAGAAAATGTAGCCAATTATATCGATATAGACCGGTAATTTTTGTATTCGATTTTTACAAATTAAGTCCGTCAAAATGGAGGGTTGAGTGACCCTCCAAATTTACATGCCCTAAATTTAACACACTGTTTAATGAGGGGCAAGTAAATTTGGAGGGTCACTCGCCCTACAGGTGGGTCGCCCTTCAAAGTAATGATGAAGTTCACTATGTTTCACGTTTTTTTACCTGACTAGAAACAATGACATTTGCTATTAAAGAACCATGCCTTCAGATTCATGCTAATTTTCATGAACATTTTGAAAATGTATTTAAAAGTAAAATACTGTGAAGTGAACAAAGAAAGTAATTTACACATTGCAAACGGCACTTACAATCCACGTAATTAATCAAATGAGGTAAAAATATACATAAATATTTGTTTCAAAGCACAACCAGTAAACTTTACAATTTTTGAAGATAACTATTTTGTGTTGCCCATGTTAGTAAAAACTGATCATGTTGCTGTTAAAGATTATCTGACAACTAGTAGGCCGTAAGCCATAATTATTCTACATTTGTTTTCGTTTTTTGTATGCAGTTACGGGGCTGTATGTCCATTCTCCCCAGCAAAAACCCTAGAAATACTAGTATAACAGGTTGAAAAGCTGCTGTAGAAAAATATCTCTGTACTTACTCCATTTTGGGAAGCAAATTCTGCATCATACACTCCAGCAGGAGGCCGTGCATACTGTTGACTGGCCATTTGCTCTTCAGAATTCAGAGAAGCTGCAGTTAAAGATTAATAACTTTTATGCTTTAACAATAATCAACTTACCTATTTATAGAAGTGTTACAGAATACTGTATTAAGTACGTAATAGAATACTGGTAAATCTTCCTGAAAACTGTCGGACTGTCAGGCATGACCAATAAATATTCATAAGGCTTAAGATTTTTACGCTTCAGAAAATCTGATTGGCAAGCAGTAATTGAATAATAATTTTAGGGGACAAGGGACAATAAATTCCTAATATACAAAATTTTGATTTGTTTTGATTGGCAGTAAAAATTTTTAAGTAGCAATGGAATTTTATGGGATTGAAACATAACATTATACTATTCAAAGCCTTATAAATTTGAACTTTTCAAGGGATAAAATAGCTTTTTAAAATCCTAAGTTAACTAGCATTTAAAGATATACTTTTTAGCATGAAAAGATCATGTTTTCTTACATTTCACTAAAAGTTCTTCAATCTGGCTCCGAAGTGCTCTATTCTCTTGCCGGAGTGTTTCACAAGACTCACATCTGTTTCGTGGTTGTTTTGCTGCAACTGTTGGGTGACCTTTTGCATTGACTACTGGTTTTTCAGAAAAAGACAATGACCTTGGTAGAGTTTTAGCTGTTCTGACATTTTCAAAAAGAGAATGAGATTCTGTTGAAGCAGGTGATGACTGAGGTGATGGTGACAGAAACTGATTACTATCACCAAATAATGAAGGAGAGACTGGTTTAAGTGATGCCAAGGTTTTCCTGGGTGACCTTCTCAGTGGTGATTGAGACACTGATGCTACAGTTGTTGATCTGGGTGATCTTCTTAATGGGGATTCAAATACTGTTGCTTCAGTTGTTTGTGATTTCCTTGGAGATCTTGGTGAGAAAAGCGAGACATGTGCTGTTCTATGAATAGGAGATCTCTGCGGTTCTGACAGTTCACTGTCCATAACAGCAATTAGCCTTTCCTTTTTCTTCTTCAAAACTTCTCTCTGTGTTTCCTTTTCTTTTAATTTCTCAGCTGCTTTCTTTTGCTTTTCTGACTGAGCACTGTTTGTTTCTGCTTCTTTACTTCTTTTGTGCCTTTTTTCTGTAAGACAAGATGATCAAGGGGTTTGACATATTGTATACAATGTATAGCCAAAAAGAACATCAATTTTGAAAGCTGGTCCTTCCAAGACTTAAAATTTAAGAATGCTTTTTTTCCTTCATAAATCAAAGTTAATATATACTGTAAATAATGACGGAAAATCTATGTATTAATTTCAAACTTTCTTCTACCTGTATTTTTTTTAATGGAAATTTGACTTTGTGAACATAGAGCAACAAAACAATGCAAAATTCAAATTTCAAAGGGGCATGCACAATTCAATTTCATAATGATTTATATAGTTTAGTTTTTTTGGGAGAAATTCTTTTCAATGAAATACTCCTTAAAAACCTACCTTTCTGAGACTCAACCAGAATGCTGGAGTTCACATCTTTTATCAAGGTTTCCATTTCCTTCTCCAATTCTTTCTTGTTAACTATAATGTAAAATTATAAAATAATAATTACATAATAATTATGAAATCAACAGTTAAGCATCAAATACAGAATGACAGTATATTTTTTACAATTATGGCTGCTCAAAAATCTGATTTGTATAATTTCAGCGATTTTTTTCCCTATAAAAGTGGTACCGAGTAACGGACCCATTCACAATCACAAACGGACCTTCACAATTTTCAGACTGGGTCTGACGGAGCCGTTCACAATTCTGATGAAATTTCACAATTCCGATTAATTAAGACTTTAATAACGTATTATTTCCTCTCTTCTCATGATGCTAAAATTTTGATGTTGTGCTTTGTTTATCTAAAATGCATTTATGATTTAGCAAACCACTGATTTCCGGTGCATTCGCCCTTTAAATGTTCGTACCGTTTAAATAAGGAAATTCTAGGGACGAATCAAATTCAAAACTGAAACAAGCGTCTGGTAATTTGTAAACATCATTCAAAATGTCTCATAACAGTAAATACTATGTAATTATATGTTCTTAGTCTTACTGCTTAATAAGATATTAACAATCTTAATTAAAAAATTCACAATTTTTTAAGAAACAACGCTTTTTTTCACAATTTTTATGATACCAGACTGATTCACAATTCAGGGAAAAAATCGCTGAATCTATTCACATAATTGCTGGTTCTTTCTTCTAAATTCTAATGTCTAATACTGTGCGTTATCAATTTATTTATATCTACTAGTACTTTGCACCAAATATCCTTGTCACACTGTATATTGACAAATTTTATTGCTCTTTGTATGCCTCTGTGTAGACAGCATAATTATATCAAAGACTCTTGCCGAGAGACCTTTTGATCATGAAAAAAGTCAGGTACATCCCCCCCCACCCATTGGTTAATAACCTTGTCTGTTTGTGTTACTGTGAAAATGTTAACAATGAAAGTTATGATGAAAACATGAAAAAATTTTAAATAATAAAGTAATCATTCCTAGTAATATATAATTAAGGGTCGAGTTGACCCGCGCCAAGTCAGAATAGGGCCGAGCTGACTCGGGGGGTCGAGTATGTTTTAGGCCGAGCTGACCTTGTCAAATCAGTTTGGCTTAACGATGAATCTATGAAATTCACATGTAACAGGGTCATTTTTTCGTTCTTGAAACGTAATATGATTATATGAAAAGAACAATAAAAATAAGATTTGGTTTTACCTCCTTTTTGGAGAATTTTCGCAGGAAACGTTTTTCCTTGGAACTTCGCTTCAACTTCCTCTCCTAAACGGTATTCTTCGAACTCTCTCCGAGGTTTGACAACATTTGAGAACTTAATGACACTGTATGCCCCTTCTAGGACCCAGAGCACTAATATAAACATTGTTAGCGCTGAAATTTGTATTAAAACTTAAAAAGAAATCCTGACAATGTTTTCGCTGCTTTGATGTGTTCCATCCGCCAAAATTTTGGAATCGACCAATGAAAAATCTCCTTTGTGCTGGGATGCTGGAACGGACCAATGAATTATCAGGATGCATTTTCCGGAAGTTACTCACAACAATGGCGGCTTGGAATCGCTGAATGACGGTGTCTACGACTTTATTTCGCATTTTTTGTTATTATTGAGGCGTGGAGAACTAAATTTTTGTACAAGAAGGTAATGACGTGATATTGATTATAAATATTGGTTATATAAGTATTTAAAAGTCATCGACAACTGCAATGATTCGTAAAATAAGGAACCGGAAGATGGAATTATGAAAATAAGAAAATAACTTGTTCAAATATCGTAACCATCGTCAAGAAAATTAAAACGAACTTTAAAGATTTTTTCTTGGCTAAAATATTTTTTATAACTAATTAAGCCTGCTTAGTGTAATCGTTCACGATTTTCATAATGAAGAATATAAAGAAACATTTCAATTTCTGATTTTGTTGAAAAGTAGGACGTTGGCAGGCTTGTAATATTTACGTGTCACGTTTATTGTTCATATTGAATTTAAGTGAGTAAATGAATAACTCAATGTGAGTAAATGAATAACTCAATGCAAGCTTTTGTATATTAGACAGTGAGCAACTGTAGATAAATTTTTTTCACACAATTCGATTTGGTATTGTTGATTGTTGCAATCATAGGTGTTTGGTGTGTTGAATTTGGTCACTACTCCCAGGAACCAACCCCCTCTACAACCCTCCTACCTCTCAAAACCATGTAAAATGCAGTTTTTTTTCCCATTCAAAACTTATTTTAATATTTGCTATATAATAGTATATGCTTTAATTAATTCAATTTCCTTTATTTCCCACCAAAAAAAATAAAAAAAATGATACATATATTAAAAAATATATGTATCAATTTTTAATTATTTTTTTTGTGGGAAATGAAGGAAATTGAATTCAAAGCATATACCAAATATATAAACAAATTTCAAATTAAAAATACTGCAGTTTGCCTGGTTTTGAGAGATGGGACAGTTGTGGAATGGGTGTGGGTCCCGGTGGTAGTGACCAATCAACACGCCAAACACCTATGTTTGCAATGAGAGCTTTAAATGCTAAAATAAACTGTTTGCAATAACCAGTAATTCCATGGCAGTAGGCTTTAATGAATATGAAAGGCAAAGCCTATGAATGAGGAAGTCGGATAAAAATATTTTCTTAATTTTTTATTTTACATTTTTTGTTGAAAATCGGGACATTTGGTATTTTAATAATTTTTATGCACTGCTTTTGTTTGAGACGGAACACCTTGGCAATTATTATTCAGCAGAAAGTTTGCGATTATTCTGTTACTTCTGCTTATTGGAATACCCAGGCATTAAACATTGAATTACATTAAAAATGGCATCGCCCAATTGGAAATGATACTTAAAATTTCACTGATAGGTATAGAATTCTATATATTATTTAATGTTTTATATTTCCTTTCCTTTTAAATATACAAATGTAGTTTATAGCCTGGCAAGCCAAAGTCGGGGGACCTCGGCTGTCACATCCCTTTATCATCTTTTCAAGTTTATCAATATCATAAGTAACCCCTATGTCATAATGATTCCCTTTTTGTCTTTAAAAAAATTCAAATCAATTATATTTCCTGTGTTATTTTAGGAAAAATCATGAACACCGAAAGTTCAAGAAAAAATACTAGAAAAAGAGGACCATATAATAGATCAAAATACCTGGAAAATGCAAAGGAACCTAGGACAACAAAGTGGTCAAATGCAAGGAAAACTGAGAATGATTTGAGGTTGCAAAGAGATGGTCATGAAGACTTGAATCATGAGGTTTCAACTGAAAACAATGGTAATTTCTAAAAATACTAACATTGGTATTTTTTATTTGGTAATACTTGTGCTGACCTAGGTCCGTCATCTATATCAATTTGTTATTAAATTTTGAAGCAATAGTTTTTAGTTGATTTAACAAGATACCTGTCATCTATAAATGGTACTCAGAAATGCAAGATACTTATTTGATCTATCATCGGTTATATAGATTTGTTATTTGCAGTGCACCAATAATTATTATTAAGCTGATTTAACACATATCTCAGGGATTGGGCTTTCCTAGATATCAAACCAGTAATAAAAGTGACCATTTATTAAGTATTTAAAACTAAAAATATTATTATTCATCAGAATCAAATTAATATTTCAGTGGATTTAATTGATGATGCACAGACATCTACTTCCACAGACACACAATCACCTAACAGCTTGGACAGAACAGCAAATACTGAAACCACCAACAATCCACAAGACATGTATATGCATTTTGCTGATGATGAGATTGATGAGTCTTCCGACTCAGATGAAGAGGCACATGATAAAGCAGATGGTAAGTAATTATTGTTAATAGTAAAAAGTCAATTGCTGCCTAGCTATTTCATTTGAAATACTTGCAAGAAGCCAAACCCAAAATGTAGTGTATTTTTTATTATCTTAGTGTAATGATTACTCAGGTGAGCAACATAAGCTTATCATGGCTGTCTTGTTTTGACTTTTGTGTTGGAAATACAGATAAAAATATTTTGAAACATGCCATAACACTATTTTTTATCAATAAATGTATATTTTCACTTTCAGACATTTCCGCAGATGAGAATGATAAGCCGCTATATGACAGTGCCAGAATTACCTTACTTGAAAGTATGGTTCTCATCATAACATTTCTAACAAGACACCAATTGACTCGAGAAGCCACAAAGGACCTACTACACCTGTTAGAATTACACTGTCTTATTCCAAATTTATGCCGGACAAGCATGCATCTTTTTTATGGCTTCTTCAGTGAAATAAAATCACCTGCGCAGAAACACTATTTTTGTGACTTCTGTCATGAGTACTTTGGAAGTGAAAGCAAGCCTGAGTGTCCCATATGTAAGAAGAAGAAGGAGAAACATTTTATGTACATTCCATTGGCAAGTCAGCTGAAGTTTATATTATCAGGTAATAAAATAGTTATTGGTAGGTCAACTATCAAGGCTAAGTTATTTTAAAGATAGTTAAAGTGATATAGTTAAAGTGATATTTTGTATTTATATAATTGGGTAATTATTTAAGTATCAGTTGAAATTTTAAGACAAGGTTAAGTGATTGGCAGTTAAAGTTCTCTGCTGCATGCATTTTTTTTTGGCAAGGAAAGATTAACATTACACAACTGTATTGAACCTTTAATTCTACTTTTAGGACTTACAAAATCTGATATCCAGTATAGCAGTGCAAGGAAAAGGAAGTCTGAAAATAATATAGAAGATGTCTATGATGGAAAGATATACAAGAAGTACTTTGATGGCCCTTACTTTATTAACACCGAAGAAACAGACAAATCAAAGGAATTACATATATCTTTACAGATGAACACAGATGGGGTTTCAATATTTAGATCATCTTCATACAGTGTTTGGCCGCTTTATCTTGTCATCAATGAATTAAATCCAAAGCAAAGGTACTTGGTTTTATTGCAAATTCTTTAATTCCGGAAAAACTTAGAATTATATAGTTTAATAATACTTTAATGTACATATTTCATTGTAGTACAAAATCATTATAAAATATCATCATTCAGGTACTGAACCTTCTGTATTGGCTCATAAACAAAAACATTTTCTTGACCTGGCCAGCTATGTACTTTTGCATAGATTGGTTACAAAATATTACACTTCTTTATTTTCAGGTTCAATAGTGAAAACAGAATTTTTGCAGGACTCTGGTTTGGGGAAACAAAGCCTCTTATGAACATTTTTCTTGCACCACTTGTTGAAGAATTGGGTGTATTATACAAAAAAGGTATTCAAAAAATTAAAGTAGTATTTGAAATACTTTTTAAATATTTTTATACTTAAATAGTTGATTATTATTTTCCAGTTACATGAATTGTTCAATAATATTGATGTTTTTTGTCTGATTTTACAATTTGACTAGATTATATGAAACTGGTATTACTGCAGCATTCCCCCCCCCCCCCACTGTAGGAATGGTGCTGGTACTAAGCAAAGTGAGAAAAATGCCTCATTGACTCTTATTGGGAATTTTAAATATTACATCAAGTATTCATGGGTTTTTTTTATCAAGGGAGACATGAGAATTATGCCAATTATTCACTTAAAAAAACATGTTTTATCAACCATAAGACACTGATGGTAAATGATTTTTTTCCTATTTGAGATTTAGAATATTCAGTGGATAAATGATATATGTTGTGAACTAGAAGTATGAAATGAACTGTGTAAGAATAAAGCTCATGTGGTTATCATTGTTTTTTACCCCATATAGCTTATCAATATGAAAGCAGCCTTTTTCTGGTATAAACCCTTTAAAGGAAAAACTGCCAAACTACATGTATATGCTTAAGTAAAGATGACATATTGTCATATTTTCAGGAGTATCCGTCATGATACAAGGGCAGCAATTTCTTCTAAAAGCTGTACTACTGAATGTAGTGTGTGATGCACCTGCCAGATGTATTGTCCAAAACTTTACTCAGTTTAATGGATTTTTTGGTTGTGGATGCTGTATGACAAAGGGATCATCTGTACAAACAAGTGCTAGAGGAACTATGTTGTCCTACCCATATGAAATAACTGATGACAATGCAAAAATGGGTCATTCACAACTCCGGACACATTCCGAAACTGTAAAGTATGCAAGAGATGCTTTTCTGAATGGTAAACCTGTACATGGTGTTAAAGGTTTCACAGTGCTCACTGATGTATCTTATTTTGACATAATCAAATGTGTTACAGTTGATTATATGCACTGTGTTTTACTAGGTGTTCAGAAAATGTTACTGCAGCTGTGGACTGATAATGGAAATAAAAATGAAAAATTTTACATAGGTGATTATGTGGGGGTTTTAGATGATCGCATGGCAGCATTAACAAGCCCTAATGTTATAAATCGCTCACCTAGACATATGAAAGAACTTAAACACTGGAAAGCTTCAGAATACAGGTCATTTCTTCTATTTCATTCTATCTGTTGCTTACAAGATATGCTTCCACAGGACTATTACTTGCATTATTTGTTATTTGTTGAAAGTATCTACCTACTTCTACAGTCATCAATATCAAGATCAGACATATCAAGAGCACAACTGCTCCTTGCTAAGTTCTGTGCTCAAATGGATTATTTGTATGGTCAGAGATATGAAACGTATAATGTTCATTGTCTATTACATCTCACAGAAAAGGTAGAAGATCTAGGGCCACTTTGGTGCCAATCTTGCTTTTTTTATGAAGACCTTAATGGGAGTCTGCGTTCTTTGTTTCATGGAACCACAAAAATAGAGCTTCAGATTGTGTCTGCTGTATCTATACATCAACAAATTCCATTTTTGGTGAAAAAAGTAACTAAAAGATCCGAAGTAGAACAGTTGTACCATAGGTTTAAAAATAATAGCAAACATCAAAATAGAGAGTATATTAGCAATCACATGTTAGCTGTTGGTAGACAAATTGAATGTCATCATTCACAAGCAACCAGGAGGTTAATTGAACATGCTCATGGACCAGTTCATAATGTTAAACAGTTTTTTAGATTTCTTTCTAATGGAATTATGTTTTATTCTATAAAGTATCAATATGTGACAAAAAGAAACAGCTATACTGTAGAGTATACAGTAAACGATTTGCCACAATTTGGCCAGATTCAGTACTTTTTGAAAACCCAGATGCAGTCAGGAACCAAGTACTTGGCAGTTATCAAACAATTTTTGGTAGTTGACAGCACAACAAAACTACCATGTCACTTCTATGAGGTGAAGGAAAATGGACAAACTGACGTTGTAGATGTAATATCTATTCAGCAGATGTGTTACTTTGCTTGTCTAACCACATCAAAAAAATGTTTTATAGGAAAGATACCAGTGTTTATTGAGTGTGACTAAATCTGTTAATTCTAAAAGGGACTTAAAAATAGCCTTATGTTCATGAAGATTTATTGAGGAAATCATTCATTGCCCCTGTACAAACCTAGCCATTTTGGAGAGTGAGCAATGACTATTCAGAGGGGTTTTTTTTAGATAAATTTCTGCTGATTGCACTCATGTGAGACGGATAACCTGCTATCATATATATGACATAATAATATTTACTTCATTGTATTCTGTCTTGTCAGAAAGCTATCCAGCTTGCCTATGTTCCGAATGTCAGTGGTTTTACTCTGGGTACCTGTTTGTGCTTTAAATAACTTACAGAAGGGCACCTGAGATCTTCCTCCACATGTAAAGCTGGAAAGGCGTCACATGACCTGTAATGTGTTGGTGCAACATAAAACCAAATTGCAAAACATAATAATAATTACTTTCATGAAAGAATAGTCAATTACTCTCTTACTATAAGAATATAGCTTTAAGTCAATAGAAAATAAAAAATCCTTTTGCATTTTTGATACGAATAACCCCCCACCTCGACCTTTGAATGCTATTAAATCTACAAAGCTAGCATAGGACATATATTTCCAGTATGAAGACTGAATATTAACTCTATCATTTTACTTTAATTTTGATTCAAATGTGCACATTTAGTTCTGATAATGTCAATAGGAGATATATAACAAACTATCTTCCTTTATAATATTTTTTTTGTAGTATGCATGTACACTATGCTTGCTGATTATGTAGGATGTTCATGTTCTGAGTTTTGATATTGTATGTTTTGTACTTTGTTTTTTATCACACAGGAATATTTTATAAATCTTGATTGTAGAATGTGACATCCATATCAAAGTAAAATGTTTATATTGATTTTACTGAGTTATTTTCTTTTTGAAACATACATTTTCATTGACTATATGAATATTTTCAAAGCTGGTAAATATCAGAGAACTACAGAGTTTTAAAAGCATACTTGAAGCCCCATCAAAACAAGTCCTGCATTGCTAAGTTTCAGAAGCACAACTTAAGTATCAAAATAACTTTTAAACAAACAGTCAAAGTCTGAGAAGTAGCATATAAGTCTCTAGTACAAAATACTATCAAAATGAAGCACTTAAAAAGCCCTGGTGCTTCAACTGGAGCACACATTTACAAATTCAGAAGCTCATTAGAAGCTGGATGGGGCTTCAGATGAAGTACACCTCCAGTCAAAATAAGTGCACTTGAAGTCCCTAGTACTTCAGCTGAAGCACAGGTGCTAGTTTTAAAAGTTCTATTGAAGTACAGAAAAAGCATATTAAAAGTAGGGGACTCTTGTGAAGTGGGGGGCTGCTTTTGTGGCTGGGTGTTCATGCTGTTATTGGCTGTAACTTTGTTATTTTTGAATGGGTTGTCTTCAAACTTAAACATAATAATCTTCAAGGATAATCTTTAAAAATAACCAGACAGACCTTAACCTTCACTCATTAATGACCTTGACTTTGAAGTTCAAATTATTGAAATTGTCATTGTTTTGTGTATTTTTGCTATTATTGAAGGGATCAACTTCTTATTATAACAGAACATACCTAAGGACAAGACCTTGTTGTGACTTCACCACATGACTTTACCACGTGACTCCACCACATGACACCACCACGTGACTTCACCATGTGACACCACCACGTGACACCACCATGAGATTCCACCTCGTGACTGCACCACATGACTTTACCACGTGACTCCACCAAGTGACTCCACCACGTGACTCTTCCACGTGATTTTACCACGTTACTCCACCACGTGACTTTACCACGTGACTCTACCACTTGACTTCACCACATGACTCCACAACGTGACTTTACCACGTTACTTCACCACGTGACTCCACCACGACACTTTATCACGTGACTCCACACATGACTCCACCACGTGACAGTACCACGTGACTTCACCACATGACTCTACCACGTGACTTTACCACCTGATTTTACCACGTGACTCCACCACGTGACTTTACCACGTGACTCCACCACATGACTCTACCACGTGACACAACCACGTGACTCCACCACATGACTTTACCACATGACTTCACCACGTGACTCTACCACGTGACACCATCATGTGACTCCACCACGTGACACCACCACATGACACCACCACGTGACTTTACCACGTGACTCCACCACGTGTATCTATTTATAGAATTTTCTATTTATAGAATAGCGTGTTTCTATTTATATATATAATTTAGTATATTTATATATACAAAATATATGTGACATGACAGACCGATTAATTTTATAAAAAGGAAACGTTAAGATTTTGTTCAAATATTTCTTTGTTTGCTTTAAGAGAAAGTAAAAAGTCGAGCGTTGCCCCCGCCCGGCGGTGGTTCTTGTTAATTCTTTAAATTTACATACAATCAATACTTTTAAGACAATATGTCTCGGTTCTGCTATATAGATTCTATACTAATGGAAGGAATTTTTTCAAACTTTACTCAATTGTTCACCCCAACTAGGCAATGTGCAGAACCCATCTTACCCTTGTGCCAGCTTAAGGTCAAGGCCACACTTGATTTGATGATGGAACATGATTTGATAATAAATATTTATACTTTTACCTGTACAATTAGTCTTTTTTCACCAGAGATAATTTCCTTTTATGTATTTGTGCCACTAAAGTTATTCCCTTAACCACCTTTCCAAGTTGTCTTCTGTCAAGGACATTGGTGGGGGTATGAATCGCATTCAGCGATAGTTCTAGATATTTCTTACTTTTAATAATTCTCTGTGTAAATAATTCAGTGTACATGAACTGCTTAACTATGAACTTATTTGTCATTCAATAATATTTATAGGTTCAAAATAATTTGCGAATGGTTCATTTACAGACAAATTTTTTGGGAAACGGACAAAAGCCCTCCCGGACAAAACTCTCCCGTCCATAAATGACAAGGCGGACAAAAGCCCTCCCGTGAAAATGACTGGGCGGACAAAAGCCCTCCCGTGAAAATGACTGGGCGGACAAAAGACCTCCCGTAAAATTAACAAGGCGGACAATTGTCCTCCCGTAAAAAATAATATATGTATGTTAAATACCTGTGTTTTTTTTTCAATGCACTCAACAATTTCAAACTTTAACATATAAAAGTGACATTTGTATTTGTTGTTGTTTTCAATTGGCCTACATGTAAGTATGTGTATGAGCTAGAACCACCTTTCATTCAGAATATACTTTTCTGAAATGTTTATTGAGGTAATTCTAAATTGACTCATTGCAAGGCACATTATAAATGTCTTGATTATACAGTTGACTCTCAATGAGTCAAAATCGCTTTACTCAAAATTCCGCGTTAGTCGAAGAAGTCCCGTCAAATTTCCTTCTTAATCTTTGTATTTTAACTCCGCTTAGGTCAAATTTTGACTTACCGAGATTCCTGTTTAGTCGAAAAGAAAATTTGGTCCCGTCAATTAAAGTCCAACATATTTTCATATCATTTAGTCGAAGTGTGAAAACAGCCGACTGATCAAAGGTCGGAGACATCAAGGTAAAATGTTGCCACTCGTGATTGACACGTTTCATAGTAATTTTAATTGCCGGTCACCATGTATTATTAACACGTCGTAAAAGTGACTTGAATCGGTTTCAGGACTTAATTGGTTTAAACAGTAAGATTACTAAATTAAGATTTAATTAATTTAATTGTAAGGAAGTCCATATCGGATCGAAAGTATCATTCACCAAAATGTCAAAAGAAAGTTAGCTCGTGCCAGTCTGACAGGTGTTAGTCAAATAAGGCCTAGGTATTGATGTGTGTTTTCAACGTGAATGGCATTTGTATAATTAATGTTCCGTCATATTGCATTAATTATTATGTACTTCCGGTTAACGATAGTTGCTACTTTCGTTTTCGTCCGATGATCAATTTACTTCAAATATTAGATAAATTTAAATAAATGTGTTATTGTGCTTTTATTGTAATGAATTGTCATGAGTGCTTATTAAAAACATGTGCAACGGTCAAATATTGCAGCATTTCCGCTATCAACAATAACAAACCTACTTCTTTGCACATTCAATCAGGCACATGTATATACATGTACGAATGTCAACGTAATGGCGGCAGATCCACGTTACTCGAATTCCGTTTCTCTCGAAGTAAAATGCCCAGTCCCTTGGATTTCGAGTTACCGAGAGTCAACTGTATTTTTAAATTTTAGTTAAATTAAACTTCTTTTCATCATTTATTACTCTATTAATCTTAACTGCACATGGGAGTTATCCTTTGATATTTACATGAATAAATATGTCCTAACAGATTTTAGCATTATTATTCCAATGCCTGTCAGGAATGTGCTCAAGCCCATACAAACATGCTTAAGCCACATTGGAAAACAAAAATATTCATGATTACAAATTTAATATAAAGAAAATACAAACTATTCAACGCACATGTATTGTTTGGTTTTATTAACCTGTCAATTACATACTGATTACACGGTCGATGCACACATTATATTAATCTTCGGTAGATTTTCGGTAAGTTCCGTGTGGTGTACGCTTCACGATGGAATTCAATTTAATTTGTATCTCTTAACAAGGTATACTAAGCGTTATAGCGCAATAGGGTAAAGCAAGAGCTTATAATCTAAGTACCACAAGTGTTTTAAGTTCGAGACCGCGTTGGTCCATGTTTTATTTCTTATTAATACGTTCAACATTATTGAAGCTATATATGATTATTTTATGTTGTTCGTTTTGTTTTATTATGTTTTACTTAATTTTGTTAAGTCTATACTCTTTTTAAATAACATGCTTTAAGAATTCCTATTTGAAATTAAAACGGATTAAAATCAATAAATGCCTTTTCTGAATGCCGTAAAACACACAACAAATCTGTTCCTTTAATATATACTGCAAAAATAAATAAAGGCCAACAGTAAGGATCGAACCACAGACCTCTCAATTATCAGGCATTCTCTTAACCGACTGTCCTATTGTTAATTAACGAAAACATTCACTTTAAGCTTGCGTGACTTTCAAATCATGACTAATATACTCCACATTAATTCTCGTAAACTACACGGACCAAACCGAAGTGGGATCGAATATTTAAATGAGCCCTATAATGTATTCATAATTGACAGGTCAATAAAATCAGACTATACATATATGTATTTGCTGCGGGAGGGCTTTTGTCTGCCCTGTTATTTCCATGGGAGGGCTTTTGTCCGCCCTGTCATTTTCACAGGAGGGCTTTTGTCTGCCCTGTAATTTTCAAAGGAGGGCTTTTGTCCGCATTGTCCTTTTTGGACGGGAGGGCTTTTGTCCGGGAGGGCTTTTGTCCTACACTCAAATTTTTCACTACAGGAATCCTTACCATATATTAATCAGATTGCCGAGTGTTTTGATGTTCTTTCTCTTTTGTATCATAGTCAAACATACAAACAGGTTCCCTGTTGTTACAATATGAAACCCCGGTAAAAAGTTACTAATGAACGAGCATCTGAATATGATATTTCTGTCTCTTCCGTCACAATAAGTAAATCCCAGCAAAAATGAGCCAATCAATGGGCATGCTCATGAGTGCGGGTAACTAATACCTGCACTCCAGTTAACACACTGTGCATGTATATGTATACGATTTAACTCTGACACATTTTCAACAGAAAGGTCCCCAAACTATGATACAAATGATTTGTTAACTATTTAAGGCTAAAGAATTTATGTTTTAACAACTGACCAATTCTAATCACAAAGGTACTTCAACATCTCTACCGTTTGTACCTCTTTCTATATATATTCTATTATATTTTGTGTTTGTTTCTTCTTGTTCTTTTTTATGCCTCCACAAAGTGGGAGCATATAGCGTTGCACTTGTTCGTCCGTCCGTCAGTCCGTCCGTACGTCCCGAAATCTTGTGAACGCAACTCCTCTTATACCGGATGGCAGATTTTGCTTAAACTTTCAGGGATGAACAACCTTAATGTGTAGATGGTAGTAAAGGAAGGAATTTTCGCTGCGACCAAATTTAACAGAATTATGGCCCTTTGTTATTTTTTTCACTATATACTATGTAGAAATTTTGTGAACGCAAATCCTCTAATATACCGGATGGCAGATTTTGCTTAAACTTTCATGGATGATAAACCTTAATGTGTAGATGGCAGTAAAGGAAGGAATTTTTGCTGCGACCAAACTTAACAGAATTATGGCCTTTTGTTGATTTTTATCCCCTACCGATGGAATCGGGAGGGGGATATAGTTTTGGCGTTGTCCGTCCTTCCGTCCGTCCGTCTGTCCGAATTTCGTTTCCAGACTAGTTCTCTGCATCTACTGGC